TAATAACAGCCATCCTTCATATAATTTTAAAAAGGCTGATTATGCACGCATGTACAACCTATTCCTATACGCTGACTGGAGCCCTATTTTGGAATCTACTGATCCTACTGAGGCATGTGAACTTTTCTACAAAACTATCTATGAAATATTCGATATTACTGTACCATTGCGTCATGTTAGTAAAGCTCAAAGTAAAAATCGTTATCCTTCTTGGTATTCACCACAATTAATAAGGGTTTTAAAACGTAAAACCAAAGCCCATAGTTTATATAAAAGGTATGGTACGTTGTTCTTTTTTAATAAATTTAAACGGTTGAGATCATTGTCTAAATATCTAATCGATACAGCTTACAAGAAATTCATAATTGACGCTGAGAATAACGTCTCAACTGATCCAACGAAATTATGGTCATTTGTTCAAAATAAAAAAAATCAAACTAGAATCCCAAATGTTATCAGGGACGCCGACGATGTATGTTATGACACTCCAGACACTATAGTAAATGCCTTTGCGCGCTACTTTGCAAGTGTTTATCAGCCTTCTAATCCCGGTAATCCGTCGTCTTCGCCGAACTATTTCCAGAACATTGATACCCCCTCGATAAGTGAAAGCGATATTCTTATAGCAATCAAGAATACTAAAAGTAAATTTACTGCAGGACCTGACCTTATTCCGAACTTTGTTATTAAAGATTGTGCGTGTGTACTAGCAGTACCGTTACTGCATATATATAATCAAATACTTAAATGTGCTACCTTCCCTTCTATTTGGAAACAGGCCAGAATTTGCCCAATTCTTAAAAAGGGTAATCCTGCACAGATTAGCAATTACAGGCCAATCGCCATTATTAATAACTTTGCAAAAATCTTTGAAATGATTCTATATAAACACATTTACAATAGCATTAAATCCTTTATCTCACCCTTACAGCATGGGTTTGTTGAAAAAAGAAGTACAGTCACCAACTTAGCTACCTTCACGCAGTTCACTGCCAACTGTGTAGATGCAGGGGGTCAAGTTGACGTGATTTACACAGATTTTTGTAAGGCCTTTGATCAAATAGATATATTCATCTTACTTGACAAGATGAATTTACTTGGATTTAATGATCATATATTACATCTTCTATCATCTTACTTATTTGATCGGGTTCTATATGTAGAATATATGGGGCATCAGTCACATCCATTCATGGCTACGTCGGGTGTCCCTCAGGGCTCAAATTTGGGACCACTATTGTTCCTTATGTTTATTAACGATCTGCCGGAAATTATTAGATGTAATAAGTTGATGTTTGCCGATGATTTAAAAATTTTTAACTCTGTAGCGTCTATAAATGATTGTCATCAATTACAACAAGATCTGGATAACCTATATCTTTGGTGTGTCAACAATAAACTGCATCTCAATGTAGCTAAATGTTATGTTATGACGTTTACAAAAAAGAAAATACATATCCTTTAATATGACTATTACATTAATAATTACACACTGAATAGACTTAAGGAATCTCGTGATCTTGGTGTAATATTTGATTGTGAATTAAATTTCACTACACATATAAATGAAATGGTTAAATCAGCCAATAAGACCTTAGGTTTCATATATAGAAATTGTAAGGATTTCAAAAGTTTGCATGTTCTGAAGGTTTTGTACTATTCTTTAGTTAGACCTAAGCTTGAATATGGTAGTCTAGTTTGGCATCCCATTTATGTAGTCCATAAACACCACATTGAGTCAATTCAAAGGAGATTTTTGAAATATCTCATGTTTAAAACTCATGGTTTCTACCCGCCTAGAGGAATCGACCATGGTGAGCTTCTGCAGATGTTTAACTGTGAATCACTCGAATTCCGTCGCATAACTGCAGCTGTTAAATTTTTGTACAACTTAGTTTGGGTTAAAATAGATTGCACTGACCTATTAGGCTCCATAAATTTTTTAGTTCCAAGAGCAGGAGTCCGTCTATACTTAAGTTTTTATAATCTTAAGGCAAGAACAAATGTACTTCGCAAAAGTCCAGTCTATTTAATGCATTGTTATTTCAATATAATTTGTCGTGACTGTGATTTATTCAGCGATTCTTTGCACTTTATTGTTAAGATTTTGTCTGGAAAATTGCATCCCTATGTGTTGTAACTTATGTTATGTAATTTAATTGTAATTGTAATTGTAATTTCCTGTTATATATGTATTTTGTATTTTTTTTCTCTTTTGCCTACTTGTGGCCTATACTGTTTGGCAAATATATACCTATTTATTTATTTATTTATTTATTTATTTACTACATCAAAAAGAAAAACTCCTTTCCATGAAATTTTTCTAAACAAAAACCCTTTATTTAGGAAAAAAAGTAACAACCATTAATTTTTGAATTCATTAGACATTAAAAAAATTTTTGAAAAAAGGAAAAACTAATCTTCTCATTACAAAAAAAAAAAAATATGGATTTTCTTGTATGTTCAGATTTTGAGGTTGTCGAAGCTAAAAATCAATACTTCTGGTCTTTCTAAACATGATCAGTTTGAAAAAATGTGCCACAATTGGGAGTAATTTTTATTTAATTTTTTAGAAATTCGTCAAAATTTTGTAAACCTTGAAAACTGTTTTTTGTTACGGACTCTAAATGCCATATTGTATTTCCTAAACACTGTTGACACTAAAAAATGAAAGACTTGCTTTGAAATTTGATACTGATTATCTCAAAAATTGTCAAAATTTTCAGTTCGAGATCAACTGCTAAAAAAAATTCTACATCTTCTCTATCTTGGTCGTAAGCAAATTATTCCAGATCAGTCATTTACAAAATTCAACTTCCATAAAGATGTTTCATTATAATAAAAATAAAAGTTCCCCGCCCACCCACCCATCTTTTAATCCAATGACTACATCAAAAAGAAAAACTCCTTTCCATGAAATTTTTCTAAACAAAAACCCTTTATTTAGGAAAAAAAGTAACAACCATTAATTTTTGAATTCATTAGGCATTAAAAAAAATTTTGAAAAAAAAAGAACTAATCTTCTCATTACAAAAAGAAATGATGGATTTTCTTGTATATCCAGATTTTGAGGTTGTCGAAGCTAAAAATTAATATTTCTGGACTTTCTAAACATGATCAGTTTGAAAAAATGTGCCACAATTGGGACTAATTTTTATTTAATTTTTTAAAAATTCGTCAAAATTTTGTAAACTTTGAAAACTGTTTTTTGTTACGGACCCTAAATGCCATACTGTATTTCCTAAACACTGTTGACACTAAAAAATGAAAGACTTGCTTTGAAATTTGATATTGATTATCTCAAAAATTGTCAAAATTTTCAGTTCTAGATCAACTGCTAAAAAAAAATTACATCTTCTCTATCTTGGTCGTAAGCAAATTATTTCCAGATCAGTCATTTACAAAATTCAACTTCCATAAAGATGTTTCATTATAATAAAAATTAAAGTTCCCCGCCCACCCACCCATCTTTTAATTCGATGACTACATCAAAAAGAAAAACTCCTTTCCATGAAATTCTTCTAAACAAAAACCCTATATTTAAGAAAAAAAGTAACAACCATTGATTTTTGAATTGATTAGACATTAAAAAAAAATTGAAGAAAGGAAAAACTAATCTTCTCATTACAAAAAGAAATGATGGATTTTCTTGTATTATGTCCCGATTTTGAGGTTGTCGAAGCCTAAAATTAACACTTCTGGACTTTCTAAACATGATCAGTTTGAAAAAATGTGCCACAATTGGGAGTAATTTTTATTTAATTTTTAAAAAATTCGCCAAAAATTGGTAAACCTTGAAAACTGTTTTTTGTTACGGACCCTAAATGCCATAATGTATTTCCTAAACACTGTTGACACTAAAAAATGAAAGACTTGCTTTGAAAGTTGTTATTGATTATCTCAAAAATTGTCAAAATTTTCAGTTCGAGATCAACTGCTAAAAAAAATCTACATCTTCTCTATCTTTGTAGTAAGCAAATTTTTTCCAGATCACTCATCTACAAAATTCAACTTCCATTAAGATATTTCATTATAATAAAAATAAAAGTTCCCCGCCCACCCACCCATCTTTTAATCCAATGACTACATCAAAAAGAAAAACTCCTTTCCATGAAAATTTTCGAAACAAAAACCCTTTATTTAAGAAAAAAAAGTAACAACCATTGATTTTTGAATTCATGAGACATTAAAAAAATTTTTGAAAAAAGGAAAAACTAATCTTCTCATTACAAAAAGAAATGATGGATTTTCTTGTATGTTCAGATTTTGAGGTTGTCGAAGGTAAAAATTAACACTTCTGGGCTTTCTAAACATGATCAGTTTGAAAAAATGTGCCAGAATTGGGAATAATTTTTATTTAATTTTTTAAAAATTCGTCAAAATTTTGTAAATCTTGAAAACTACTTTTTGTTACGGACCGTAAATGCCATAGTGTATTTCCTAAACACTGTTGACACTAAAAAATGAAAGACTTGCTTTGAAATTTGATAATGATTATCTCAAAAATCGTCAAAATTTTCAGTTCGAGGTCAACCGCTAAAAAAAAATTCTATATCTTCTCTATCTTGGTCGTAAGCAAATTATTTCCAGATCAGTCATCGACAAAATTCAACTTTCATAAAGATATTTCATAATAATAAAAATAAAATTTTTCTAAACAAAAACCCTTTATTTAGGAAAAAAAGTAACAACCATTGATTTCTTGTATAGGTAATTGAATTTTTGAATTCATCAAACATTAAACAAAAAAGAAATGATTTATTTTCTTGTGTGTTGAAATTTTGGTGTTAATTTTAAAAAAATTCGCCAAAATGTTGTATACTTTGAAACTAAAAAATGAACTTTGAAATTTAATAGTGATTATATCAAAAATCGTCAAAATTTTCAGTTGGAGATCAACTACTAAAATAATTCTGTATTTACACAAGATATTTCATTATAATAAAGTAGTTTGACATTTACTGTGGTTTGACTCTTTTTTGCCACAGTTCTGGACGATATTCCCGACTCGCACGATGGACTGCACGCACCGTGTGACTTTGTTTTCATAACCTCAAATTTCCGTTTGTTTTTGTGCGTCAGCACCCCTATAAACTTATTTCCCACTTTAAAACCGCAAAAATGGTGAAAGAATCGAGCAGAGAAGGCAGTTTGAAAAAGAAACGAAAAACCGCCGCCGCCGCCGACAGCGAAACGGACGTAGATATTTACAAAGTAAGACTCGCTTAACCTGTACCTCGAATTACCCCAAATTTCCAGAAATCGATCGAATTCGAAGAAAAGGAAGCCCTCGCCCGCCCCAACGATGCCGACGCACAAATCTACTTCAACACCTGCAAGGAAATCCGCCAATTATTCGGCGAAATAAGCGAACTGAAGACGAAAAACAACCCCGACGTAAACCACCCTAAAATCATTAAAACCCGATTGTTTTAATAGTACATTTACAGAACAAGATGAAGATAATGGAAAAAACCACGGACGTGTGCTTGTTGCTCGTTCTGTTGAAAAAATTGAACCGAATGGAAAAAGTGAGGTTAGTTTTCCCGAAGGAACAACTCGCGACGGAGAAACAAAAAGTCGATAGTATTAATTTGCAATACCAGAACTTGTTGTACGAAGCCAACCACTTAATTTCGGAGTACAGGAAGTGCTTCCAATTTAAGTAAGTAGCAGAAAAATAGCCCCCGGAACACCAATAATAGTAACGCCATTCTAGATCCAAAGACGAACACATTGAGTTAGTGCCCGTGGACGAGTTCCTCCTGGAAGCCCCTGAAAACCTCACGAAAAAATTCTTCAAAGTGAGTATCACCCAAATCAAGAATGTCCACTTAAACCCCAGTTCCAGTTTGACGAAAACGACGAAATGATGAAGCACGAACTGCGACTAGCGCGCCTGGAGTGGGAGCTCCAACAACGCATCCACCTCGCCGACATGTGCAAAAAGCTTGAAGAAGAGAAGAAAAAACTAGAAGCTGATATAACCGAACGCAAAAACAAGTTGGATAAATTGGGGCCCTTGTTGGCTACGGTTATGGAGGCGACCAAGCCGGTCCAGGAGCACCTAGGGCTCCACATTGACAAGACCCTAGCTGAGCATAAACTGGCGTCTTTGTTGCCCAACTCTTTGTACTTATTTTACGCCAATATTGACGCCTACAGGCAGGTTAATGATAAGAGTATGAACGTGGAGATCGTGGGGGACCAGGATGAGGCCATTCAATGGAAGGAAGTGGAGTTGAACGAGCCCGTTGTTGAGGAAGACGACTTGTCGGACGCTGAACAGGAAGCAGAGGCACAAGAGAGCGAGGAAATCGTCGAGACGAAGAAAAGGCGGCACAGGAAGTCGGTGCATGTGGATCCGCTGGAGGAGAGGAAGCGGAAACTCCTGCAGGTGCACCCGTTGTCGATCGAGGTCACCGTGAGTGTGAAAGACGGGCCTTCGATTAAAATCAAGTTTAGTTATTATGTGAAGTTGGAGATTGTGACGGTTTCGGCGACCGTGGATATTCCTAGTAATATTACAGGTAAAAAAGCATGAATTTAGCACAATTTGTACGCAAAAATATTGTCGGTACCCAGCAGCTGGGGGATTAAGCTCCTCCGCCTTCTCTCTACAGGTTGTCATAATTTCATAAACACTCAGGTAGAATAAAAAGGACAAGGGCTATTTTTTTTTTTAACAAAAATAAATATTTAAAATCTGACGAAAATTGACAATTCGAAAATCAAACAAGACGAAACCTTGGAATGAAATATATAGAAAAAATATTTTCTGTTTATCTTCTATCTGTTTGAATTTTGGGACTTTTAATACTTCGACTTTTAAATTTTTTGATTTTTTTCTTATTCGATTTCTTCAAATTTTTCGAATTTTTAAAGTTTAGGTTTTTCATGTTTTTGTTGTTTCGATTTCTCTGTATTTCAATTTTTTGCCTTCTTATTTTTAGATTTTTCTATTTATCGGTTTTCTTAAAATTGAACTTTTTCGATTTTGAATTTGCCCATTTTTCGATCTTTATTCGTCTTTTCGATTATTCGAGTTTCCTATTCTTCGACGTTTCAATTTTGGGCCGTATTTAAATTTTTCAATTTTCGATTTCTCATTTTTCTCCATTAATCGATTTTTTAATTTCCCATTTTTTCCATTTCTGTTTAAGTTTTGGGATTTTTCAAAATTTTGCGAGTTTTTAAATCTTACATTTTTCAACATTTTCATCTATTCGATATTTTAGATTTTTAAAATTCTCAATTTTTCAATTTTTTGGTTTTGACAATATTTTGATTCCTCCATTATTCGATTTTTCAATTTTCCGCTTTTCCGATTTCTCTATTTTTCCATTTCTCTGTTCAAGTTACGGGATTTTTTAATGTTGGCATTTTTCAAAATTTCTATCTTTAAATTTTTAGATTTTTCGACTTTATTTTGATCTTTTTCTTACTTGATTTTTCAAAATTTTGCGAGTTTTTAAATCTTACATTTTTCAACATTTTCATTTACATATTCGATATTTTAATTTTTGGATTTTTGATTTTTTTTCAGTTTTGCAATATTTTGATGCCTCCATGAATCGATTTTTTAATTTTCCGATTTTTCGATTTCTCAATTTTTCCATTCCTTTGTTGAAGTTTTGGGATTTTTAATTTTGGCATTTTTCAAAATTTTGCGAGTTTTTAAATCTTACATTTTTCAACATTTTCATTTATTCGATATTTTAATTTTTGGACTTTTGGATTTTTTAGATTTTTAAAATTCTCGATTTTTCAATTTTTCGGTTTCTCGATTTCCCGATTTTTCCATTTGTCTGTCGAAGTTTTGGGATTTTTTAATTTTGGAATTTTTCAAAATTTCGGTTTTTAAATTTTTATATTTTTCGACTTTGTTTTGATTTTTTTCTTACTCGATTTTCCAAAATTTTGCGAGTTTTTAAATCTTACATTTTTCAACATTTTCATTTATTCGATATTTGGATATTTGGATTTTTTAAATTTTGAATTTTTCCATTTTTTCGTTTTGACAATATTTTGATTCCTCCATTAATCGATTTTTTAATTTTCCGATTTTTCGATTTCACAATTTTTCCATTTCTCTGTTGAAGTTTTGGGATTTTTTAATTTTGGCATTTTTCAAAATTTCGATTTCTAAATTTTTAGGTTTTCCGATTTTTTACTAACCCGATTTTTCAAAATTTTGCTAGTTTTTAAATTTTACATTTTCATCTATTAATTTTAATTTTTGGGTTTTTTAGATTTTTAAAATTCTCTATTTTTTAATTTTTTTGGTTTTGACATTTTTTTCAATCCTCCATCAATCGATTTTTTAATTTTCCGATTTGTCGATTTCTCTATTTTTCCATTTCTCTGTTGAAGTTTTGGAATTTTTTAATTTTGGGATTTTTCGACTTTGTTTTTTCGATTTTTTATTTACTCGATTTTTAAATATTTTGCGAGTTTTTGAATCTTACATTTTTCTAAATTTTCATCTGTTTGATATTTTAATTTTTGGATTTTTTAAATTCTTAATTTTTCAATTTTTCGGTTTTGACAATATTTTGAGTCCTCCATTAATCGATTTTTTAATTTTCCGATTTTTCGATTTCTCAAGACAGAAATCGAAGTACAAAAAAGAGAAAAATCTAAAAGTTAAAAATTCGAAAAATTGAAAATTTACAAAATCGAGAATTCAAAAAATTGAAAAATCGAATAAGTAAAAAATCAAAAAAACAAAGTCGAAAAATCGAAAAATTTAAAAATCGAAATACATATTGAAAAATCAAAAAATCGAAAAATTAAAAAATCGATTAATCGGGAAATTGAAAGATCCAAAAATTTATAAACGCCAAAAACTGGAAAATCGAAAAGATGAATTATGGAAAAACTGAGAAATTGAAATCGAAAAATTGAAAAATCGCGAAATCGAAACATCAAGAGTAGTCGAAAAATCGAAAAATGGGAAAAGTCAAAATTGAAAAATTTTAACTTAAAAAAACTGAAAAAATTAATTCCAAAAAATCGAAAAACCGGAAAATTTAAAACGGAGAAGACGAAAAATCGAAATATCGAAAATCTCAAAAATTTATTCCGAAAAATTGAAAAATCGAAAAATCAAAAACGAGAAAGTAAAAAATCGAAAGATTGAAAATTTACAAAATCGAAAAATCAAAAAACTGAAAAATCGAAAAATGTAAGATTTAAAAAGTCACAAAATTTTGAAAAATCGAAATACATATTGGAAAATCTCAAAATTGAAAAATTCCAAAACTTAAACATTGAAAATCTGAGAAATCGAGAAATCGGAAAGACGAAAAATTAAAAAATCGATTAACCGAGAAATTGAGAAATCGCAAAATTTATAAACTGAGAAATCGAAATTGAAAAATCGAAAAATTGAAAAATTTTAACTTAGAAAAACCGATAAACCGAAAGATTTAAAAACGAGAAGGCAAAAAATCGAAAAAAAAAAGTTATCGAAAAACTGAAAAATTAATTCAGAAAAATTGAAAAATCGGAAAATCTAAAAGCGAGAAGGCAAAAAATCGAATAATTGAAAATTTAAAAAATCGTGCAATCAAAGCATCAATAAATCGAAAAATCAAAAAACTGAAAAATCGAAAAACGTAAGATTTAAAAAGTCGCAAAATTTTGAAAAATCGAATAAGTAAAAAATAAAAAAAAAACAAAGTCGAAAACTAAAAATTTAAAAATCGAAATACATATTGGAAAATTCCAAAGCTTAAACATTGAAAATTTGAGAAATCGAGAAATCGGAAAGACGAAAAATTAAAACATCGATTAACCCAGAAATTGAGAAATCGCAAAATTTATAAACTGAGAAATCCAAATTGAAAAATCGAAAAATTGAAAAATTTTAACTTAGAAAAACCGATAAACCGAAAGATTTAAAAACGAGAAGGCAAAAAATCGAATCATTGAAAATTTAAAAAATCGTGCAATCAAAGCATCAATAAATCGAAAAATCAAAAAACTGAAAAATCGAAAAACGTAAGATTTAAAAAGTCGCAAAATTTTGAAAAATCGAATAAGTAAAAAATAAAAAAAAAACAAATACGAAAACTAAAAATTTAAAAATCGAAATACATATTGGAAAATTCCAAAGCTTAAACATTGAAAATTTGAGAAATCGAGAAATTGGAAAGACGGAAAATAAAAAAATCGATTAACCGAGAAATTGAAAAAATCGCAAAATTTATAAACTGAGAAATCGAAATTGAAAAATCGAAAAATTGAAAAATTTTAACTTAGAAAAACCGATAAACCGAAAGATTTAAAAACGAGAAGGCAAAAAATCGAAAAAAAAAACGTTATCGAAAAACTGAAAAATTAATTCCGAAAAATTGAAAAATCGGAAAATCGAAAAGCGAGAAGGCAAAAAATCGAATAATTGAAAATTTAAAAAATCTTGCAATCAAAGCATCAATAAATCGAAAAATCAAAAAACTGAAAAATCGAAAAACGTAAGATTTAAAAAGTCGCAAAATTTTGAAAAATCGAATAAGTAAAAAATAAAAAAAAAACAAAGTCGAAAACTAAAAATTTAAAAATCGAAATACATATTGGAAAATTCCAAAACTTAAACATTGAAAATTTGAGAAATCGAGAAATCGGAAAGACGAAAAATTAAAAAACCGATTAACCGAGAAATTGAGAAATCGCAAAATTTATAAACTGAGAAATCGAAATTGAAAAATCTAAAAACTGAAAAATTTTAACTTAGAAAAACCGATAAACCGAAAGATTTAAAAACGAGAAGGCAAAAAATCGAAAAAAAACCCTTTATCGAAAAACTGAAAAATTAATTCCGAAAAATTGAAAAATCGGAAAATCTAAAAGCGAGAAGGCAAAAAATCGAAACATTGAAAATTTCAAAAATCGTGCAATCAAAGCATCAATAAATCGAAAAATCAAAAAACTGAAAAATCGAATCTTAAGATTCAAAAAGTCGCAATATTTTGAAAAATCGAATAAGTAAAAAATCAAAAACACGTAAAGTCGAAGTATTGAAAAGTCCCAAAATTGAAATAGATAGAAGACAATTTTTTTTAATTCCGAGGTTTCGTCTTGTTTTATTTTCCAATTGTCTAAATCAGGTTTATAAAAAAGAAACACTTCCCATTTAAAATCTACCCTTAAATTTTTGTTAATAAAAATAGTCCTTGTCAATTTTATTCTACCTGAGTGTTTAGGGAATTACGGCAACCCGCAGAGAGAGGCGGAGAAGCTTAACACCCCTCGCTGCTCACTACCGACTATACTTTTGCGTGCGCTAGTACCTACTATGATTTTGGCTAGGTAACGCCGCACGAGAAGTCCTTTCCAACGAAAACGTCCTAATCGAACTTGTGGAAGGCGACTTCGGTCTAGAAAGCCCCAATCCTTGCACTTCCTACCAGCTAAAACGGGTCGGGTTGGGTTCGTTCCAGTCTCTAGTCCCAGAGTTAGGTTACGTATACGGGTGGGCCCAGAAAGTCTGCGGCATAGACTACCTCAACAAACAAACCAACAAGTTCGTTACTAAGCAAACAGCCGACCACATGAGCCAAACCAACGTCGAACTGGTGATGAAAACGGTCAAAAAGCGGCTAAAATCGCGATATGCTTTGGCCAAACAGTTGGAAGATTTAGGTAACACTTGATCTAGTTTAGTTAGAAAAATTGCGTTTGATTTTGTACAGAAAGAAACGTCATTCCGACGTTACCAGCCACCGTGGATCTTCCACGCACGACAATTTCCTCTTTAACTAAGTGGAGTTCATCCACGTATCAGGATTTCTGTCAAGCCAAATTTACAGAGTCGTTGCTTGAAACGGACCTCATTTTTCCCAACGACATTTTTTACCTAGCAACCGTGACACGTGACAGCGGTAAATCAGTACAATTTTTGCATAGCCAACTTCATGTTTACGTTTTAGCCAACCTGCAAGCTTTTGTAGTTATTAAAAACGACTACCCGGTGGCGCCACCTATATTTTCGTTGTCATTGAACTACAAGGGGGCCAAAAATTCACAGAACGACGACAACATTAGGGTCAGTTTTGACGTTTCTAGCTTGACAGATTGCAAATTTTGTTTTTAGGATATGGAGCGGGCGATTAATGTCGATTGGAACCACGAATTTTCCAACGCCAATTGGTTATTGTCGGCGCAAATTACGTCATTGTGCGTTTGTTTGGATATTTATTTGGAAACGGACGACCCGTCGACGTTTCAGCAAAACACCATGTATATAAAATCATCGTGGTGAGTAAATCGGTTTCCGGGTGGTGCCGCCAGACCGATTTTTACTATTATTTTTTTAGCGGACGCAACAGAAGGAAGCCGTTCAAGTTCAGGAACATCGGAGTGGGCGTCTACACTCAATAATCATATAGTTTTTATAAAACATCATTTTAATAAAAATTTTCAAGTTTCGGAAACCTGATGTCCGTGTTTTTCAAATTGTGTTGGATCCATATTGACATATTTTTCATTCCTCCATTAATCGATTTTTTAATTTTCCGATTTGTCGATTTCTCAATTTTTCCATTTCTCTGTTGAAGTTTTGGAATTTTTTAATTTTGGGATTTTTCGACTTTGTTTTTTCGATTTTTTACTTCCTCGATTTTTAAAAATTTTGCGAGTTTTTGAATCTTACATTTTTCTACATTTTCATCTATTTGATGTTTTAATTTTTGGATTTTTTAAATTCTTAATTTTTCAATTTTTCGGTTTTGACAATATTTTGATTCCTCCATTAATCGATTTTTTCCATTTGTCTGTTTTAAGTTTTGAGATTTTTCAAAATTTCGATTTTTAAATTTTTAGAATTTTCGTTTGCTTTTCTGATTTTTTTCTTACTCGATTTTTCAAAATTTTGCAAGTTTTTAAATGTTACATTTTTCAACATTTTTGTCTATTTGATATTTTCATTTTTGGATTTTTTTTCCTCGATTTTTCAATTTTTCGGTTTGAAAATATTTTGATTCCTCCATAAATCGATTTTTTAATTTTCCGATTTTTTGATTTCTCAATTTTTTCTTTTCTCTGTTGAAGTTTCAAATTCATTTTTCAAAATTTCGAATTTGAAATTTTTAGATTTTTCGACTGTTTTTTTCATTTATTACTTGGCCGATTTTTCGAAATTTTGCGACTTTTTAAATCATACATTTTTCAATATTTTCATCTTTTCGATATTTTAATTTTTGGATTTTTTAAATTGATTAATTTTTTGATTCCTCCATTATTCGATTTTTAATTTTCCGATTTTTCGATTTCTCAAATTTTCCATTTCTTTGTCTAGGGTTTGAGATTTTTCAAAATTTTGATTTCTAAATTTTTAGTTTTTTTGAGTTTGTCTTTTCGATTTTTTACGTACCCGATTTTTTAATATTTTGTGAGTTTTTAAATCTTACATTTTTCAACATTTTCATTCGATATTTTAATTTTTGGTAGATTTTTAAAATTCTCTATTTTAAAATTTTTTCGGTTTTGACCATATTTTCATTCCTCCACTAATCGATGTTTTAATTTTCCGATTTCTCGATTTCTCAATTTTTCCATTTTTCTGTTGAAGTTTTGGGATTTTTTAATTTTTGAATTTTTCAAAATTTCGATTTTGAAATTTTTAGATTTTTCGGCTTTGTTTTTCTTATTTTTTCTTACTCGATTTTTCAAAATTTTGCGAGTTTTTAAATCTTACATTTTCCAACATTTTCATGTGTTCGATATTTTAATTGTTGGATTTTTTAGATTTTTAAAATTCTTGATTTTTCAACTTTTCGGTTTTAACAATATTTTGATTCCTCCATAAATCGATTTTTTAATTTTCCGATTTCTCAATTTTTGCATTTGTTTGATTTCTCTGTTGAAGTTTTGGGATTTTTATTTTGACATTTTTCAAAATTTCGATTTTTAAATTTTTAGATTTTTCGGCTTTGTTTTTCTTATTTTTTCTTACTCGATTTTTCAAAATTTTGCGAGTTTTTAAATCTTACATTTTCCAACATTTTCATCTGTTTTCGATATTTTAATTTTTCAATTTTTTAGATTTTTAAAATTCTCGATTTTTCAATTTTTCGTTTTGACAATATTTTGATTCCTCCATTAATAATTTTTTTTCCGATTTTCCGATTTCTCAATTTTTACATTCCTCTGTTGAAGTTTTGGGATTTTTTATTTTGGCATTTTTCAAAATTTCGATTTTTAAATTTTTAGATTTTTCGGCTTTGGTTTTCTGCTTTTTTTCTTACTCGATTTTTTTAAATTTTGCGAGTTTTTAAATCTTACATTTTTCAACATTTTCATCTATTCGATATTTTAATTTTTGGATTTTTTACTTTTAAAATTTTCAATTTTTAAATCTTTTGGTTTTGACAATAATACATATTTTTTTATTCCTCTATTATTCGATTTTTTAATTTTCCGATTTATCGATCTGTCAATTTTTCCATTTCTCTGTTCAAGTTTTGAGATTTTTCAATTTTGGGATTTTTCAAGATTTTGATTTCTAAATTTTTAGATTTTTCGACTTTCTGTTTTTTCGATTTTTTACTTACCCTATTTCTCTATTTTTAAATTTTTCGGTTTTGACAATATGTATTTTGATTCCTCCATTAATCAATTTTTTAATTTTCCGATTTGTCGATTTCTCAATTTTTCCATTTCTCTGTTGAAGTTTTGGGATTCTTTAATTTTGGCATTTTTCAAAATTTCGATTTTGAAATTTTTAGATTTTTCGGCTTTGTTTTTCTTATTTTTTCTTACTGGATTTTTCAAAATTTTGCGAGTTTTTAAATCTTACATTTTTCAACATTTTCATCTATTCGATATTTTAATTTTTGTTTTTTTTTATTTTTTCAAAATTAACGATTTTTCAATTTTTTGGTTTTGACAATATTTTGATTCCTCCATTAATAAATTTTTTAATTTTCAGATTTTTCGATTTTTCAATTTTTCCATTTCTCTGTTGTGGTTTTGGGATTTTTAATTTTGGCATTATTCAAAATTTTGATTTCTAAATTCTTCGATTTTTCAACTTTATTTTTTCGATTTTTTACTTACTGGATTTTTCAAAATTTTGCGAGTTTTTCAACATTTTCATCTATTCGATATTTTAATTTTTGGATTTTATAGATTTTTAAAATTCTTATTTTTTTAATTTTTTGGTTTTGACAATATTCCTCCATTATTCGATTTTTTCATTTTCTGATTTCTCAATTTTTCCATTTCTCTGTTTAAGTTTCGGGATTTTTCAAAATTTTTAGATTTTCCCACTTTGTTTTTTCGATTTTTTACTAACCCGATTTTTCAAAATTTTGCGAGTTTTTAAATTTTACATTTTCATCTATTAATTTATTTTTTGGATTTTTTAGATTTTTAAAATTCTCTATTTTTAAATTTTTTCGGTTTTGACAACATTTTTTTCATTCCTCCATTAATCGATTTTTTAATTTTCCGATTTGTCGATTTCTCAATTTTTCCATCTCTCTGTTGAAATTTTGGATTTTTTTAATTTTGGGATTTTTCGACTTTGTTTTTTCGATTTTTTACTTCCTCGATTTTTAAAAATTTTGCTAGTTTTTGAATCTTACATTTTTCAATATTTTCGTCTATTTGATATTTTAATTTTTGGATTTATTAAATCCTCGATTTTTCAATTTTTCGGTTTTGACAATATTTTGATTCCTCCATTAATCGACTTTTTAATTTCCCGATTTTTCGATTTCCCAAGACAGAAATCGAAGTACAAAAAAGAGAAAAATCTAAAAGTTAAAAATTCAAAAAATTGAAAATTTACAAAATCGAGAAATCAAAAAATTGAATAAGTAAAAAATCAAAAAACCAAAGTCGAAAAACCGAAAAATTTAAAAATCGAAATACATATTGAAAATCCCTAAAACTTAAACCTTGAAAATTTGAGAAATCGAGAAATCGGAAAGACGAAAAATCAAAAAATTTAAAAATTAAAAAATCGATTAATCGGGAAATTGAAAGATCCAAAAATTTATAAACGCCAAAAACTGGAAAATCGAAAAGATGAATTATGGAAAAACTGAGAAATCGTAATCGAAAAATGGGAAAAGTTAAAATTGAAAAATTTTAACTTAAAAAAACTGAAAAAAATAATTCCGAAAAATTGAAAAACCGGAAAATTTAAAAAGGAGAAGACGAAAAATTGAAATAAAACCGTTAAATCGAAAACCGAAAAATGGAAATATCGAAAATCTCAAAAATTCATTCCGAAAAATTGAAAAATCGAAAAATCAAAAACGAGAAGGTAAAAAATCGAAATATTGAAAATTTACAAAATCGAAGAATTAAAAAACTGAAAAATCGAATAAGTAAAGAATCAAAAAAAGGAAAATCGAAAAATCCAACCACGAATTTTCCAACGCTAATTGGTTATTGTCGGCGCAAATTACGTCATTGTGCGTTTGTCTAGATATTTACTTGGAAACGGACGACCCGTCGACGTTTCAGCAAAACACCATGTATATAAAATCATCGTGGTGAGTAAAATCGGTTTCCGGGTGGTGCCGTCCAAATTTAAAAACTGAAAAATTAATTCCGAAAAATTGAAAAACCCGAAAATTTAAAAACGAGAAGGCGAAAAATCGAAAGAAATCCGTTCAAGTTCAGGAACATCGGAGTGGGCGTCTACACTCAATAACCATATAGTTTTTATAAAACATCATTTTAATAAAAAATTTCAAGTTTCGGAAACCTGATGTCCGTGTTTTTCAAATTGTGTTGGATCCACTGGTCTGCGTCTTCGTTTAGGTCGCCCGTGAAATAGTCCCTCCAGCCCCCGCTTCGTCCCTTCCTTACGAAATCCTCTTCGTCGCTTCGTATGACCCCCAACTCCTTCAAACCCGTCAAATTCACGGACTTGTTGTTCCGAAAATTGTCGATTTTTAGGTGTTCTTGGAGTGTTTGGTGCTGTGCTTGGGTGTACCTTACCCCCAGGAAGTGTCACAGTTTGTTTGATTTCTCTGTTGAAGTTTTGGAATTTTTTATTTTGGCATTTTCCAAAATTTCGATTTTTAAATTTTTAGATTTTTCGGCTTTGTTTTTCTGATTTTTTTCTTACACGATTTTTCAAAATTTTGCGAGTTTAAAATCTTACATTTTTCAACATTTTCATGTATTCGATATTTTAATTTTTGGATTTTTTAGATTTTTAAAATTCTCGATTTTTCAATTTTTTGGTTTTGACAATATTTTGATTCCTCCATTAATTAATTTTTTAATTCTCCGATTTTTCGATTTCTCAATTTTTCCATTTCTCTGTTGTAGTTTTGGGATTTTTTAATTTTGGCATTGTTCAAAATTTTGATTTTTAAATTTTTAGATTTTTCAACGTTGTTTTTCTGATTTATTACTTAATTGATTTTTCAAAATTTTGCGAGTTTTGAAATCTTACATTTTTCAACATTTT